TTTTACTTTTTTTTTTGCTACTTTGTGTCAAAAATGGTTTTTCACTTTAAAACTATTCTGTCTCTCTTATTGCTGAATGAGGAACAGCAATTTTAGAAATCGACCTATAGTCAGACCTATAGTCAACCTCCTGGATGAGAAGTGGCATCACTGTGCTTTTTAAGTAGACTTAAAAGAACAGCCCGTCCAGGTTCACCATTTATTTAATGCTTATTCACTGTTCAATAAAGTCTCTTTCTAAACAGATCAATTACAAAAACCTTGATTCTCGTTAAATTTCTTTAGATACAGTAGATTTTTAAATTTTCTTTTTCTACTTGGTGTTGCCAAACAGGTTCTGTTTTAGTGATTTATTGATCTCCCTGGCTGTGGACAGTAAACTTATACTTAGTGTTCAAAAACGTTGGTAAATTGTATTAGTTTATTTCGTGCTTTGACAAGTGGGGGGGGGGGGGGGGGGGGGGGGCTACATTTTTATAGGTTAGTTTGAAAGTTCTTTCTATAGTGAATAAAAAAATTTTTACAGACGGCACAGATTAAATCTTTTCATAGTCCTTTTAGAAAAGGTTGCCATGTCTAGTGTGAAGTTTTTCTGATGAGGTCACATTAACAAGAACAGTTTATTTGTAACAGTGTAAGAGCGAAAGAGCAGTGTAAGAGTGGAAAATATAGTGGATAGTTTTCTGCATCTTATTGGATTTGTTGTCAATCCTTCTCTAGAGTCATTTAAGCCACAAGCCAATGCTAAACAGATCATTTAGCCAGCACTTTGTTTAAAGATAAATATAGAGGAAACTAAAATGTGATTTACACAGAATTGTGACAGTACAGTGCTGTAAACTAAAGAAGCTGCAGCAGTTCATTTGACTTTGTTCCAAAAAAATATAATTAACCCATCTAAGTGTCTGAAAGGGGGTCGTTAAGATGGGTATGTGGCATTTCAGGCTAACGTAAGAAGCCAAACGACCCCATTCCAAAGGGGTGGACCCCTTCGTCCGTTTTTATTTGCAAGTTTTCAAAACAAAAACAAGGTTCTGATGGGCTACTGTATAAAACCTCAAACTCAACGCTATTCCTGACATTTTGAATTGAAAAAGCTTCCTGGATGGGAAGCGAAACGTCTTCAAACTTGGAAAGAAAGTCCAGTGAATTGCTTTTAATTTTCTTTTTCTGGAATGACTATGACCTGGATGACTGAGAATCTTCACCAGCATTTTACTTTATAAGGTTTCTTTAGTTACATTTCTTCAGAGGAAAGCTTAACTATATTCCTGTTTATTGAAATGATCATCCCAAATTAAGCACCCACTAGGACTGATGCATTACTCCATGACTCTACCATGTGATTATTTCATAAACTTGTTCAATTTAAATATGCTACACCAATAACCGAGTTTGACATCACATAGAGGGCACTTCAGTTTTCACATACTGTAGGCCTCATTCAGAAGTAGGAAAAGCTTGACAAGATTAAAAGTACCATTGTATTTCACCTTTGGACCTAATGCCATGTAACCAAACATAATCACTGTCTATTGGCTTAAATTTGCATAAATAGACTTCATAACACATTAACATGTAATGTAGTAACATGATGTACTATACAAGTTAAACTGGACAAGTAAGGTCAGCTACTTCACCAAAATTATGTTGGTTAATTGGCAGATAATGCTGTAATCAGTTCATTCTTGACACCTACTACTTTAATAGGTACATCAGTTGAGTTTTGTATTAACAGTCAACAGTGAATCTCACAATAGAAGCTCAACACATTTAAATTTCTAGATGTGGTGAAGAGGAGTTCCTGAAAATTAAAGAAAAGCATCCCCATGGGGAAAATAGGAGACTTCAGTGACTTTGAGCATGGCATGCAGTCAAACAGGTTGGAGTGTCTGAGACACCTCTGATCTACTGGGATTTTTCTCTTTTCACAACAGTCTCTTAGCTTTGCAGAGAATGACAAAAAAGAAATAATTTGCAGTACCTGTACATCTATGAATGAAAATGCCTTTGTGATGTAAGAGGGCATCAGGCAGATAGACAGTAATTGAAACAACACTTACTACTATTAAGGGAAGTAGAGCATCATCTCTGATGAACCCTAGTCTCCATGGTCATGACTGCAGCTAATGAAAAATGAGAATCTGCCTGTTTGAGAACATCTGACACATGCACGCTGACATAGTGGAAGCATAAGCATAGTGTTTAGTTGCAAAGAACATACTTTTAGTTGCAAGGCTGGTAAATAACACAGTTTAAGCATTTCTGCTAGTCTTGTGCAATTACAACAAATTTGTTTTAATAGTTGGCATTCTTTTAATGGATCATTATCATGTACAAAGGCCATAGAGGCAGAGGTGGTGTGACAGTGTGGTTATTTTGGATGAATTTTGAGCTCCTTAGTACCAGCATCCTTTAAATGCCAATGTCGCTGGTGATGTCATCCCTTAATGACAGTAATGAACCCTTCTTTTCATGGCTACTTTCAGTAGAATAATAAACAATGTTTCAAACCTCAGTTTATTTCAAAACAGCTTTCTTGACATTAGTAATTGAGTCCAACACTCACCATAGATGTGAATCTAATGAACATGCTTTGTTGTAATGTTATGTTAATGTGGACATATAATACATTAAGATAATTTCTAACACTTTGTTAAGTCTAAGCCATTCCTGGAGGGAAACAGGGAGTCCAATCCAGTACTAGGGTAGATGGCCTGTAAAGGCATAAGACCTTTCAAGTCCAAGAACCACAAAGTGCTTTACGTTACATTCAGTCATTCACCCATTGAGCTACATTGTAGCCACAGCTGAGTTGGGGCCCGCTGATGGAAGCAAAGCCTCTGTGAACAGACACCTCTGGGCCCTCTGACCACCAGAGGTACAGCCAATACGGTGGAAGCCTATTGTCCAAGACAAATTGGACAATTAAATTGGTGACCCTCCGGTTGAGGGATAAACTCCTCCATCCTACCCCGCTGTCTTACTTGGAAAGTGTAAAGTGGGCATTGAGAAGAAAATAACTGCCTTGCTTTACATTTTCCAAATTTTATGAGAAACCGGTATTAAGTCCTTAGCAACACCCAGTTAAAAATAAATCTATCAAGTAAATTGCAACAATAATAAATGCTTGGCATGTGTAAATACTAATCATTAATAAGCCCATGTATTTTGAAGAGATGAAATTAGAGTTTCTTTTCTAACTTCCTGCAGCAGCTAGCTTTTCTTTGGCACATTGGTCAGTATGGGAACAAGCTGAGATACAGTCAGTTATTTTAAAGGTGGGGTGGCCTCTCTGTGTGGGCTAGGACATTCCTCATACTCTATCACCCTTTTCCTTCTGTTGAACAAAAACATTCAGATCAATGGCAGAGTTTAAATTGCTCTTTGATGTGGGAGTCTCCATGAGAAAAGCTGTTTCCCTTAGTGTTGGTCCTGTTGCCTTTCCAGGGTGTACTCTCCCGGCCTGTAAAATGGCTTTGCAATCGCTGAGGATTGAGTGGGCAAAAAAATATATATTGACAGATCACACTCTTTTCTGTTAAAGGAAAATTCGATATCATCAGAGGTTAATTACCATAAATATTTATTAAGGATACAAATTGTGTAGAGCAATAGTTTAATCCTTATCTATAATCGTATTAATAAAAGTCATAGAACAAACAAAATATGTACACCCATAAATTATTATATAAAAACACACACTTAATTATTTCTCACGGTACAGACATAAAAATCCAAAGTTTTTGGTTGGTAAGAAATACCTAAATTATTTTGATTTGTAAAATGCCTGTAAACTATGATAGTTTTCAGAATCTTCGTTTTAACTATCTTTGTATTTAGTCATTTATATAATTAAGAACTATTATGGCTTTAAACTGTTTTCCAAAGCCCAGGTTAGGATAACATGTCTCTGTAATCCACTAATTAATTTACAACATTTGAGTTAAATGGAATTAGAAATGCGGGTGTAGTTTGAGGCAATAGCTTGAGCCACCACCCCTTTGAATGATGTCACCTAAAAAGTCAAATAAAACCACAAAAGAAAAAAGACATTGGACCTCATAAAATCAAGGAAGGAGTATTTGACTTAACAAAATACATGACATCATAAAGAAAGAGGGTTAAATGCATCAGCAACATCTCTGCCAGGAAGTTAATGGCAAGAAATTAGAGTCTTCCAAATAAATAATGCCACTAAGTTTGTCACATTTGGAATAAAGGAGCTTAAAGAGAGAAAAGTCAATAATTAAAGGCGTCCATCACCTTGACCTCAGTCCGATAGAACATTTCTAGGCAGAACCAAGAAAATGTGTGAGGATATAGTTATTTACAAGCCTGACTTACTTCTCTTCTGTTAGGAGGAATGGGCCAAAACTCCTGCAACTTTCTGCAATTCTAACAAACATTGAGTAGAAATATGAAGAGAATTCACAAAAAATTCAACAACAACAAAAAATGTTGCTGCATCTTTCAAATGTTTTAACTGTAGTAAGCCAATAGGAAAAACTGTCTGATTTAATGATTGTTTGGGAGAAACAAAAGCTTGTGTGTATTTTTATAGCATGTATGTAAATATCTGTTTCAGCTGTCTTTTAGGGGCAAAAATAGTTCAGGAAATTAAGCTTACATGTCCTCTAATTTGTTTAGAAAATGTTGGAAATCTAAAAAGAGCAATTCTATCAGGGTATATATTTGTTTGCCAACCCAGTTTTCCCCTTTAATTATAATGTGACTAATATTCCACATCATGCAGTGCTTATTGGAGCTCAATCAAAAAGGTGCATCCAAAGGTGAAGCCGTCTCACCTTTGTTTTGACAGCGTCTCTGTTGGCTTCTCATGAAAGATTCATAGAACAGTTCCTCTACCTGGTTTACTTTGTAAGGGTTGCTAAGCAACTGTAAAGTTATCCTGTTCCTCAAAAGCTGCTGTCCCAGTGAACCCAGTACCCGAATGCTAAAAACCCAACCACTGAATGTCTGCAATTTGCCTCCTGCAGGTCAGTGGACTCACCGAGGGGGGGATTATGTCCAAACCTTCGACCAACGTGAAAGCCTTGCAGGTAAATGAATCTCACCTCTGTGCATGATCACATGGGTCACTACAGATAAAAAAAAACTCAATCTTGGTGAATAAATATGAAATTAGTCTTTTTCCACATTAAAGTATTTATTGGTGAAGGCAGATACAAGGTTCAAACAGTGCTTTTACAATATCAAGGCATTTTTTGTGCAAACTTGATAGCGAGGCAAACATATGCATGTAGTGGCTTTAAATATCACAAGAGTTTTATTCACCAACAGGCTTCTTTTGTGCTCATTTTCATCTCTAACCATGGGATAGGCATCAGCACATAAGGTTTTACATAAAAGCGCAGTACAAACAGTAGCTTCATAGGTCAGTTTTAGGACAGCTGTATTTCACATTAAAAATGTCTCAGGCATATAAAATGAATGATAAAAAACTCAAAACTATTGTAAACATGTTGCCATGTCAGTGGCTTTGCATATTAACATTACTTAGAACAAAGAGCCGATTCTTTTTTGAAGATTTTTTAGAGAACACCATAAAGTAATTTTATCGGATAGTTTTATTCTGCAGTAATAACAGCTAAATGTTTTACACTTTAACTAAAAGTAGCTGGTACGATTTATGCTAATAAGATATTTATATTCATTAAAACACATAAGCTCTGGTAAAATATGGAAAACCCCTTTAAGCTCTCTTTTTTTTTTTGATCTACCTAACTTAAGTGTTTATTTAGATTATATAATTCTAACATATTTAGCAGAAAAAGAGCCCGGGTATTTTATTAAGTCTCTAATAATCTGAGGTGCTGTAAAAAACAAACAACAACAACAAAAAAACAGTATTTCAGAGGCAGAGTGGTTGTATGAAAATGGTCAGGATAAATTATAACCTCTCTGTTTTACAAAATATAAATCCTGTTTTACCTCACTCTAAAACATGAAAAGCTAATGTTAATATTAGCATTAACTTGGTTGTTTTAAGACAATTTATGTCTCTTGTAAGTGTTGTAATGCACATAGCTACTATTATTGTTACTTTTCAAGTAAATTTAATTACTGTCTGACTTTAATGATGATAAAATGTTTAAAAATAAGTGTGGAAGTGAGGAGCTAAGCAGAGGTTGAGACCAAAAATAAATCAGTTAAAAATCATAGATGCTCAGGAATCTTGTTGCATGTTAAGCAAAATTTACTCTGTAAAAACCCCCCCAGAAAACATTAAATCTCTGTATAAATTAAGTGTCGTAAATGTGCAGGTAAAACACACATTTGTTCTATACTACAGTTTGGTAAAATTCAAGTCAGCAAAAACTTTTTAGGATTATTTTGGGGTCCATAACAATTATTTGTGTTCATAATAGTCATTTTTGTGCTAACTATAAGCTCAGCAGTGGAAGTTGTTATGATTTCAGATTGTTATTGATTTTAGAAGTAATTAATACATATGATAATAATCCTGCATAACAGGTTATTATCAAGATGGGCTCAGGAGAAAGTAAAAAAAATCTTATACAATTTTTTTAGAATAAACATGGACACTTTTAATGTGTTATAATATAGTTAAATATTCCATGTTTGACAAGGTAACCAAAGGAAACTATATTTGTGGTTTTAGTTGTAAATATACTGCTGAATAATGCTGTTGGTTTTTAATCATTTTGTCCCATGAACATTTGTAAAATCAATTGTAATACATTCTTAATAAATGTTTCTCTTAACATCTAAACCATTTTTAAAATATGGGTTAAATGCCGTATGACATTTTAACTAGTGGCAGCATTAGTAACAAACTAACCAAGGATGTTTGTTCTTAACATTTTTAATTTCACCTGAAAAAATGCCCATGCCAACTTGGGAGGAGCTGCAGATATCTAGAGCTCATGTGGTAGAATTTCTCAACTGCCTTTAAAACGATTACCTTTGCATTTAACAAATATGAAGTAAGGTCATTAGAGGTCCTTTTTGCAGTTTGCCTTGAGCCATATAGGTGACAGGTGTTTTGGTCAGATGTAGAACTTGGTGTAGAACTTTATATACATGTAAGGTCGTGAACTAGCACTACATATAATAACCTGGAACACACTAACATGATATGGAAGAGGCAGCATGACACTGTTGACATCTGGGGCAGCAGAAATGGTCAGAGGTAAAAGGGAGATGAAAAGAAACCACACATTTCTAATGACATTTGGGTTTGTTGACATGTAATCGCTATCCTTCTTTGACCTTTTCTTTTCAGAAACAGTCTAAAATAAGGCCTTTCTAAGACATGCAACAACCACTGAGTAGCTTCTTATTTTTTTTTTATCATTAGTTTTCCCAACTGGACTGTGGTGTATGCTTGGTAACAGTGTTGCCTTGCAGCAATACAGTCCTGGGTTTGAATCCTGGCATGAAGTTTTTCTGGGGTTTGCATATTCTGTGTGAATTTATGGGTTTTCTCTTAATAATCTAGCTTCCTTCTATACTAAAAAAAACATAACTATTAGGTTTACTGGTTCCTTAAAGTTTTCCAGTATCCTTGTCCCTGCCACTACCACTGAAGTTGCAAATTCCACTTTTTAAAACCAATTTTCCATTAAGGTTATATTTGTTTAATTGGATGTCAGAACACAGGTGGGGGTTTTTTTGTAACAAAATTGTAAAATACTTTCCTTACTGTTTAACTACACAACAACACACTACTTTGTTTCCATCATAAATTAAAGTTTATGGGTAAAACATAAATTATGAAAAAGCTCAAGAGGTGGGAATCATTTTTACTGGTCATAGAAAACATAAATATTGACACCATAAATCTTCATTCTAAAGCTCGGGGTTCATTGTCCGTTACATGTAATGAGATCAATGAGTAATTATTTTTTGTAGAAATCTAATAGTTCCAAACACCATAATCTTTAATAATCCAATTAAAAATATGGAGGATGATGACACCTCTCAACAATAATGGCTTTGCTTTGGGTGGAATATTCCTTTAATCTTTGGTAGTTCTGAACAAATTAGTTCCATGATGTTCAGCTGAAAGCACTTTACGCATAAAGACAGCAAACAGTTTCAGCCAAAGCAACATTACAATAAGACAAACATACAGCAGAAGGCAATTTTTCTTCCTTTCCTTTCCAGTCTTGACACCTTTAAAATATGTAACTCTTATAGAACATCTACTGTTATCAGTAACAAACACTACTCCGACTTTGTACAGCTGTACAGTGTGAGTTTATGTACAAATACGGTTTAAAACATTGAAGCCAACCAACAGGCTGAACATGGAGTTAGCAGACAGCTTGCTGTCTCTCACTGTGGCTGTCCTAATTTTCATAAACATACAGGTTGGTTTTTAGAGACGGCTAAAAACCAGGAAGAGGTTTTCAATAGTAAAAACAAGGGGCTTCGAGGAAAAAAGCAAACATTGAGATCTTTTATCTGAGTGTTCTCACTTCCCACCAGGCTAATCTGAACATCCCGATGGGAGCTCTGCGTCCAGGGGCAGGACTTCCTGTCAAGAGGAGAGAGGAGACAGTGGACACAGAAGAGGTGAGATGTTTGGCAAGTGATCAGCATCGAAACTCTTCAGAGCTCTCTATTTAAAGCTTGAAATTAAAATAGTAAAATGGGTCTGAACACCTCCAAATATGGGCTTACTGATCCTGTTTGCACTGTGATGGCTAACGCCTCGCATTTCCCTACTCAAATGAAGCTGAGTTACGTCCTAAACGGAAGAAACGAGTCATGAACTGTGTAAAACAAATATGGCAGGAGGTGAAAGCAAATTCGTTAGGATCTGTGGGGAGTTTCAAGTATCTGCCTCTTTCCGAGGAGAGCATATCCTCCCTTAAAGTTTATCTTTGTTATATGTTTCCAAGCTGGAAAAGCTTTATCTGAAAAAAAAAAAAGTAGGGGGAAATGTTTTGGATTTCCATTACATTTTCCTCATTATGTAATATTTTATTTATCCATCAGTCCTTTCATCCATCCATCTGTCCGTCTTTTCATCCATCCATCTTTTCATCCATCCATCCATCCATCCATCCCTCCCTCCATCCATCCATCCATCCATCCATCCATCCATCCATCCATCCCTCCCTCCATCCATCCATCCATCCATCCATCCATCCATCCATCCATCCATCCATCCATCCATCCTTTTTAAAGGAATGATTTTCCAGCCCTCTGACCAAAAGACTGAATGCTAAAATCAATTAAAAAGGCACTTTAGATACAAATATATGAAGAAAAGACACTTAAGCAACCAAGGTGTTTTCTGAGTAGGAGAGGTTGCATGTGAAATTGTGTTATATTCATGATCTAATTTATTTTTCCAATAGTTTTTGATAAAATCGTTTTTTTTTTTTCTTTTTTCTTCAGGGTCAACCACAAGAACCACCGCTGAGCCCAGTAACACCAGAGGAGAAGAAAGCTTTGCCGGGGGCAGTGAAGTTACCGGGTCCGACCGTTAACCTATCAGAGCTACAAAACAAAAAGAATGAACTGCGATGGGTCACCAAGGACTAACATATAGGTTTCTCTGTGGGTTAAAATGGTTAATGATAAAAGTTACAACCATCCATCCATCTTCTCCTGCTTACTCCGTCAGGATCACGGTGGGGCCCGTGCCTATCTAGCTATCTATGGGCGTAAGGCGGGGTACACCCTGGACAGGTCACCAGTCTGTCACAGAAGCTACAACCTATTCAGTCAATAAGTATTGGAATTGTCTTTGAATTATGAATAAAACAACAGTTAATCTTTTGTTCTAAATGAATGTGTGAAAAGAACAAAAAAAGTATAAAAAACAAAATGTCAAAAATCACATTTATTTTTTCTCTGTTTTCGTATATATCATTAAACAAAGCTGCTTTTGGAAAAAGGAAAAATGTTGAATAAAGTAAAATGAGATAAATAAGCATGAATTGCTGTTCCTTAAAACAATCCAGTTGAAAAGGAATGAAATGTCTTTACTGTTTTTTTTACTCTAAGTTATTTAGTGTTGACCTCTCACTGGCTGTAGGGACAAAGAAAATAGTGATATCAAAAACTAGATTAAAAAACAATACAGTAGACTGCACAGGAGCACAACAAAATGAACCTTGGCATCTTAGCTTCCTTTTAACTTCCTGTTAAAAGGGAGTTTTTCCTCTCCACTGTCACTACAAGCATGCTTAGTGTGAAGGATTGCCTTCGAGTCAATGAGTCGATGCAATCAACTGGTTTTCCTTAGATATAAAACTTTGAATCAATTTGACTGTATGATCTGGTGAACTGTAAACTGCCTTGAGATGACATGTGTTGTGAATTGGCGCTATAGAAACAAACTGAATTGAATCTAATTAACGGATTTGGTCAAAATTTGGAATTTCCGCTATAAGTAAAAGAAAAAAACTGCAAGTGAAATTCTAAACAGGAGTGATGGCTTAAGAATAAAAAACTGTATTTAAATCTGCTGATCTGTGTTTTTATGGTTCTGTAACATTTTTCTGGAGGCAGCGGTACGAACGGGTTGAGAGCATTGTGGGAGGGCTTGACAGCGATGGTCCTGGGTTTTTTCTTAACTTGTTATATATATATATATATCTTCACAAGCATGTTTGTGGTGTGGATAGTAAAGCCGTCATGAGTGAATAGAGTAAATAGGAGTGGACTAAGCACACAGCCCTGAGGTGTCCATGTGTTGTGTAGCATGATGTTTGCTATTAAAGGGAAAATGAATTATCATATAGGGGCACCACTGAATTATTAAATCAACAACAAAAATACATGTTGTATTACATTAGGCATGGATCAAACTGGACATTTTTAAATTCAACCCAAAAACAAGAAAACAGTTGATTATTATATTAAGTAATATATAAGTAATTCTTCTACGGTAAATGTTTTAGGCTAACACTAAAACTAAGTGTGATAAAAAAAAAGAAAGAAACGATATGCATGTTAGCAAAGCAGAAGTTTATATACCTCCTATTTTATTTTATTTTTTTACAAATATATAATACAACCAAAAAACATTAATAACTTCAGTCGGGTTCTTCAGTTTGCTCAAAGCTGATGCAAATAAAATCCAAAATAAAAAAAGGAAGTCCAGAAGTTAGCTCATAAACGATGTAATGGCCTCATTGTGGAGGATGCAAATTCAGCCTGAGTAAAGAAAATAATAAATCATTTTCCACAGCATCCATTTTAACATGCAGACGGTTGCAACGGGAGCAGGTCACAAACAAGCAAAAACTATAACCAAATCACTATCTGCTTTTATTAAAAATAAATGACATGTGGGAGAGTTGAGTTTAACTACAAATCCAAATGTACGGTAGAAAGCCAAAGGTTCCCACAGCAGTTTGATTAAAGCACTTTCATCAGCTAAATCTTAATGAAGTACGCCATCAAACCTCCTGGTAATGAGCTCAAAGTGCCACTGGGGGTCACTCTCATCCCTTCTTCTTTCCTTTGTGTCAAACTGGTGTTTTGATGTCTATGTGTGTGTGTGGGCTGGGGGGGTAGGGGCTGAGTCAGACTCTATATTTGTACTTTATGTTATTATGTGTGTGTTTTAGGTTTGTGAGCAATGTGGAGCAGTCTGTGCTGTGACTTTGTCAGCGGGACACAGAAACCACAACACATAAACACCAAAGCTGCTCCACCCAGTCAAAGAAGCACAGCAGGAGCCCTCAGATAATGAAGGAACAAAAAGAGGAAAAGGCTTCAAACTAGAACCAACAATTCCTCTACTTTTAATCAAATCTGCCTTTATAAGACACATTAGGAAAATCTATCTATCTATCTATCTATCTATCTATCTATCTATCTATCTATCTATCTATCTATCTATCTATCTATCTATCTATCTATCTATCTATCTATCTATCTATCTATCTATCTATCTATCTATCTATCTATCTATCTATCTATCTATCTATCTATCTATCTATCTATCTATCGCATACTAACTTTATTCATAAAGGACACAACAAACCCTTTTTAAGCAAAGTGCTGAAAAATAACACTAACATCTTGCATTGAAAGAATAAATGGATACAAAATATGGCCTTATGACTTAGAAACTTAATACCATAAATCCAATATATAACAATAATGGTCAAAGTATCTCACTGAGGTTGAAGGGGCAACCTGGATACAGACAGATACATTTTTCTCCTGTGGGTTTTTCATATTTGCTGTAAATAATATGAAAAGGTAACAGCTTTCAGCCCTTTGAAAAGACAAATACGTAAAAAAAAAAAAAAAAAAAAGTATATTTCTACAAAATCAAATCATTCATTCTATTAAAAATGAAATTTTAATTTTTTTATTTTACATTTGTTGTAAAACATAAGTTGGTTCTAAACCATGTTTGTCCACAGTTATTACTGGTTGTTTAGGAAGGTCTAAAAAGCCATGAGGGTTCATGGCTTTTCAGCAATAAACTTATATATAAATAAGCAAGTGAGCTATGTAACCTATTCGTTAAATCAATTAAGCTATCCAAACAAACCTGTTTGTATGACAGTAATTTACTCCCTAAGTTTAATAAGAACAACAAATGTCAGAACAAACACATTTAATAATAACAAATGTCATCAGCTGTTTGTGATAACTGGTAGTCAGTATTTGGGGTGGGTGTTGCCTTGTGGGCATCAGAGTGAGGACCATCGTTCTGATTTTACCATCAAAAAGTTTCTAGAAAAGTTAGGACATTTTGATGGTCCTCACTTTTTGTGCAAACACTTAGGTTAAGGGCTACGGTATGCCTTGGTCATATTTAGGTTTATTGTTAGTTTCTCCTTTAAACCTATTTAATGTCCTGCCACAGGATCTCAGTCATATTTAAAGGTGGTTTATATCATGGTTCTTTTACTGTACACCATATCACCATGTTTCTTTGTTGGAAAATGTTTGTTAAATCAATCTGGAGATTTTTTTACAAAAAAGTCTTGGGGATTGATAAATTTCATTTTTCCATCAGTGGTCATTGATTACCACTTTTGCTGATTTTCTTTCTTAATGAGGAATAATGATGAATCTCCTTAGAGGGTTTGTGCAGTTCTTTTTCTCCGTCTGTGGATAATGGTTCTCACTGTGGTTTAAATGGAGTCTCAAAGCCTTAGAACTGGCTTTGTGTTTTTTCTTCCGGTCTAAGAACTGACAAAGACTTTCTAAACTGTTTTTAAATGTCTGCAGAATATGAAAAAACGTGTCATTACTTCATGTTGTCAGACAAGATCAGTTTAGCTGATTTTCAACAGATCTAAAGGCTACGGAGCCCCTCTGATGACATGGTCAAAAAAAAAATTTAATTGTGGCCACGAAGTAGTATTTCGTGCGCACGAAATACTACCTGGTGGCCATGCAATAAGTATAACGTGGGCACGAAATACTACTCCTTGGACACGCTATAAGTTTAACGTGCGCACGAAATATGTATATTTTCAGTTCAGGTGAGGATTACGTTGGGTGAACCAAGAGTACCCTAAAACAATTGGAGTTTGGAGTGAAGAGAACAGGAAAAAATATATTTATTCAACATGATTGCCTGACACCAGAAGTGTTACTGGTTCTGTGCATGATTACATGCAGAGGACTTCCATATAGAGCTGAGACATAAAGTGGTTCAGGTGGGGATACAACAGGAAGAAGTAATTGTAAAGCTAAAATGTTATCCATAAGGCTTTGTTCACAACAAGAATCGATAAAAGCAAAAGAGGGAAATGGTTGATTCAATAGAAGGGAGCACGGTAATGTCATGTGGAAGAATCTGTTCCTAAAAGTGTCCATCTGGTCCCTTCCTCACCAGTGAACCCTCCCTTTTAGCTGCTTTGGGCAAGAAGAAATTAAGTCAGTACTCCCACTGCAATACAGGCAGTCAAGTTTTCATCTGACGTTGTCGTTCCTCAGGTGATAACCAAGTAAGGTACTTTGCATCAGTTCCGCATGATCTGATCTGGAGAAGTCGAAATTTTCTGAATAATCTCGAAGATGAGATTGGGGAAGAGGTAAAATAATTCCCCCCTCGCACTATTAAATAAAAGTGAGTCGAAAACAGGGTCTTAAGGAACCCCTTATGCAATCACAATTCATTGAAATGAATATTTTCCAAATGACACAAATTTTTTTTATTTTGAAAATAGCATATGAATCAGTCTGGCACATGTCCATTCTATTTATAAGGATGATTTAATTCAATGTGTGATATGCTGCCCTGAGATCCAGCAAAAAAAAAAAACAGAAAAAGTTTTTTGCATCAGAATCAGAAATACTTTAATAATCCCAGAGGGAAATTACTTTTGTTACACGCTCCAGTTACAGTTTTACATGATACACTATATTGCCAAAAGTATTTGCTCACCCATCCAAATTATTGGAATCAGGTGTTCCAATCACTTCCATGGCCACAGGTGTATAAATTCAAGCACCTAGGCATGCAGACTGTTTTTACAAACATTTGTGAAAGAATGGGTCGCTCTCAGGAGCTCAGTGAATTCCAGCGTGGAACTGTGATAGGATGCCACCTGTGCAACAAATCCAGTCGTGAAATTTCCTCGCTCCTAAATATTCCACAGTCAACTGTTAGCTGTATTATAAGAAAATGGAAGTGTTTGGGAACGACAGCAACTCAGCCACGAAGTGGTAGGCCACGTAAACTGACGGAGCGGGGTCAGCGGATGCTGACGCGCATAGTGCGAAGAGGTCGCCAACTTTCTGCAGAGTCAATCACTACAGACCTCCAAACTTCATGTGGCCTTCAGATTAGCTCAAGAACAGTGCGCAGAGAGCTTCATGGAATGGGTTTCCATGGTCGAGCAGCTGCATCCAAGCCATAC